TTGTAGTTGATTTGAATCATTTTGTTTCACTTGATTTTATGGTTTTTCATTTATACATGTTATGACTTATGATATTTTTATACATTTTAATATTGTAAACTTAAAAAAAGTGTTATATATATATATATATATATATATATATATATATATATATTAATATTGCTTTGAATATTATGTAAAATTAAAAAATATATTATTTTATATAAAATTCGGTTCAACCGCAGTTTAATCCGATTGAACCAATGAACCAGTGAACTAATACGTTCACCGGTTTAATATCCGGTCTGATTTTAAAAACATTGGTAATGAAAAAGCTACACGAGTTCCAAATGTGCAAAACAAAGGTTTGAATACATGTTTGACAACAGATAAAATAAGCACAAATTTCCCATCAATTAAATTAATAAATAATATAAAATTTGCAATGTTAAGGGCACAAGACTGGTGACTGACACATCACTTCTACTTAGTTACCCAAACAGGTATGCTATATTTTCATTTAGAGCTAAAGATAAATCTTTTACCGTGACACTAAGGGTGAGTATTCGATCGAATCGAGTTAATTTTTTTTTAGTTATTTGGGTTGACTAGTCATATTTTACAATTCGAACTTAACTTGAAATTTTTTGAGTCAAATTGAGTTTAAGAAATTCGAATCGAGTTATTCGAGTTTATATACTAATTTTATTATAATTATTTATAGTATTACGACAATGATATGTTCCAATTTTTTTACTTTCTTTAACCATATATATATATATATATTATTCTTTTCACATTATAACATCAAATACAATCTAAAATTATAAAATATGTTCATAATATTATATTTTAAAGAAAATATTTTGAGGGTAAAATATTGATAAGAGTAGAAAGGAGCCAAGAGATTGATGAAAAGAAAGAATTTGTAAACAATTACAGTCAAAAGACCAAATTGAGTAAAATGCAAAGTTAAGGGGTTAAATAAAAAAAGAGAGTACAATTTTACTAAAAAATTAAGAATTAAAGTTAAATAAGTATTCCTTGTGGTATTTGAGCATGTGGTTTAAATTTGGTAAAAAAAACAGACTTAAAATAAATGATGAATTGAAGAAATAAAAAATTATGAAAAATTGAGAGACTTAATTGAAAAATAAAAAATTGTTATAAAAAAGGGCAGTTGAAAGTACATATGCATTCTATGATGATTTAAGAGCATGTGGTTCAAATTTGGTAAAAAACAGACTTAAAACGAAAGAGAAACGGAAGGAATAATGAAATCAGGGAGTAAATCGTGGATCTGTCAAAATACTTAGTCAAATTTTTTTATTTTTCAAGTAACTCCGAAATTTCAAAATTTCAACTTGACTTAAACTCGAAAACTAATTTGAATTGACTCAAATAACTCAAAATTAAAAAAAAAATTCGAATCGAATCGAGTTTTACTCACCCCCTACATGACACAACATAATCAATAGAAAACTTGTCCCTTAATGAATTGAGCTGAATTTTTATCTTATAACAATGGTATTGTTTTAGGTGAAACATTTTACGTGCTGACTAGAATGGCATCTTTGATGCAGCTGATCAAACTTCTTAGTGGCAGCTTCATTTTATTCTAAACTAGTCTGGACGAGAAACCAAATCCAGGATCCACCAAGTTGAGTGTAACACCCCCAATCCGTATCCGAGTCCGAGGTGTCACATTGACTTTTCAAAACATTTTCTTTACAAATTGGTTAAAATTCAAATTCAAAATTCGAGAAAGTGAATGATTTTCATTAACTAAAACGTTTGGTCTTACAAAACCTATCAGAGCATATTCAGTATCATTCTCTTAGTACATGCCAACTACAATTGATATAACAACATACATAAAATTTACAATTATTTTTCTGATATGAACTTCGTAAAGGAGATGTTGACCTGTTTTGCTCCTCTTAGCGTATCTGCTCGCTTTTACGGGATCTACGTGTGAAACACTCACACGCTAAGTCGATGACTTAGTGAGGCATAGATAAATTGACTATAGCATATCATAATTAATTCCTATTATGCACCTTTCATGTAATCAGGATAAACTACATAATTCATCCAAACGTAAACACACACACATATATATATACATACCATTTCATTTTAGCGATTATTATGACTCTTGTTTAATATATTTATTGTACTTATTACATTTTGTATATCATACATATATATATTGTTTCACAAATAAACACAGATATCATCATATAATTCTAGTAACATGTTTCGTAACACGAAGCATATAAATCGTATGTAATAAATTTATCATTATCTCTTTAATAGTCTTATTTGCATTCTTTATCTTTTAGTCATATGTTCTTGTATCTATTCTTCTTAACCAAGATATATACACATCATCATATCACAGATATCACTTCACCAAACAAACATATAACATCACATAGAATTTTCGAATATTATATCTTTAATGACCCATGTACACATGTGAGAACTATAGATATGTGAGTCTATAGAGGTTGTGCACTAATGATGTCACCACAACTCATATAAATGCAACGAAGTGCCACGTAGAATTGCACCGAAGTGCCGCGTAGAAATGCACCGAAGTGCCATATAAGATTGTCCCTAAGGACTACGTAGAAAATTCCTTAAGAATCATATACATATGCTAAGGACCAAATATGTGTCTCAAAAGACCTCATACATGTTCCAAAAAATACATATATGTCCCGAAGAACCGCGTAGACCCTCGACTCTTGGCATGACAACTATACCTCTAGCTCTCATGACACATAACATGGGCATTAATATTTATGTTATCACACATTCACATATTCATATCACATATACACATAATCTTATAGTTCTTTCACATAGCTCATTGTCACATTTTCATAAGATTACACATAGTCACGTAGTTCATTTTCATATCATTCACATATACATATACTCATATAATCAATATCATTTCTCCTGTAATCACATAGATCACATCTCATAACATACATCATGTACATATAAAAACTTATTCATATCATATAAATTATGGTTTGTACTTTTATACTCACATATATCAATATCATAGAACTTGATTCACTTTTTCATGTTATCATACCATCATATAATCTTATATAAATCATATAGGTAAAGCTATTTATCTTTATCTCATTTTTCTTTTATACCAGCTTACATGGTTTATTATACTAACTTATACAATAACATATAACCCTTATCACTTATCTCATATTATTTAAATACGAGTTTATTATATCCATTTAATTTAGTTTCACACAACTCCCATAACCTTCTCATAGGGTTTTATAGTTCTTCGTCTTATACCTCTTATATCATAGTTTCCTTTTAAGTATATCACTTTTTCCTATAGTGCTTATCCTATAAGTTCGTATCATCGTTATGTTCATGTCCCCTAATTTATATATCATTTTCATATAGTCTCTTAATTTATTATCTTTTGATTTATATTTTGTTCTCTTAAATATTCTCATAGTCACATATCTCCATGACTTATCTCTTATATGCAGTTTACATCTCATTCTTATGTATCATAATAAACCTTGGCTTGATTATTCTATCAGTAACATATACCTACATGGCTTGTTTCTTACAAGCATATCTTTACATAAATCATGTATCATATACAAAGCATATCAACATATAGCACATATAATCATATCAAACTATGCTCATGTTCATGACTTCATGCATATTACTCTAGGAAATAGACTTATCGCAAGTCAAATTTCCAGTAAACATTACATATCACTAATATGCACTCACCTGGCCTCACTAGTCAATATCGATATCTTATTTTTCTCCTGATCGATCTTGCTTGTCAATGGTTCCGGAACTCGTTTAGGCTCTGTATCTACATAATTATACATTTTAAGGCAATTATTAGATATTTACAACTTGTAATTCGATACTAACAACTTAAACGAACTTAATAAATCAAGATTCCCTTTTTTCTTTAGGGGGTATCGATACCATCCTTAGGGTATCGACACCCTCATTGTATTCTGTAATTTTTCGTTTGAGAGGGTATCGATACCTGTTGAATGGGTACCGATACCCCTAGCCTAGAAATCACATTTTCAGTACTAAAATTACTTCATTTCAACTTAAACACTTCATATTTCAACCCCTTTTATAACTAAACTCAAAAACACATACTTAATCCCATTTGTACTCATTTATCCCATCTCAAGTCTCAAAATCTTATCTTCCATATGAAATTCAAGAATCATACTAAATTTTTTACTTGTTCTAAATTCAATCCCATCACTTCATATCTCTTAATTAAGTTGAGGATAAGTCAAATTCATCCTTAGAATTTCAAAAACCTTTCTATATCAAAATTTCATTTCTAAACTCTTAATAGAAATTCCTTTCTAATTCTCTCTTAGTGATGTTTTAAGCTTATATAAGCTTTCCTTAAGCTTATATAACCCCAAAGATTCAAAACTAACTTATAAATTCAAGAAATTAACAGCTAAAAATCAAATTTACCTTTAAGCTTAAGCTACGGGAAGAAGAAGAGAACAAGAAGAAGACTTCCAGAAATCTCCTAAAACCCACGTGTATAACTCTTATTTAAAGGGAAAAAATATCCTTTAAGATGAAAAGACTAAATTGCCCCTTTAATTATCCATCTATGCTATTTAATCCATCATCAAAATTCTTTACTTAAATCCCAGAACTTTTAACTCATTTTAAAATTGAACACAAAACTTTCAAAATTCTCATTTTAGTCACTAGTCGGATTTTGGGATATTACATTGAGCTCTGGATTTTAGCCTTCAAGAATGAAACAAGTTATGTCAGTGGTACGCTGAACTTGACACATTAATGTCAGCGATAATCGACAATTGTGAAACACAGATCACAACCGAGAATAAGTAGAAAAAGTAACCATTTGGGTTATAATGCATTTGCATCTTTTTTTGTTAATTGACGTCTTCTTTCTTCCTAGCAGACTATCTCAACGAATCTATATTCATAAGCAATTATACAAGCACTTTCTCTGCCAGAGTAACTCTAATTTTATAATTTACATGCAACTTAAAAGAGTAAGGAATAACCTGTGAAAATAATTAGACCTTCAGAGGACACCCTTGCCAACTCAGGATAAGTTTTGTTCAGGTTTTTGGAGACAAATAATAAAGGCCATCTGACACAAAAAGAACAGAAAATGACTTTGCCTTGTAGGGGAGAGGGAAGAGTGCATCAGAAGGGATCTATATACTGATCCAACTTGACCCAGGTTGCTTCGTTGCCCCAACATTTTTCATGGATTCCCTCACTCTAGCTGCATCTTCCCATTGCCCAGCAGCTGCATACGTATTTGATAAAAGCACATAAACTGATGGATTATTTTGCTCTATTTCAAGGAGAAACTTAGCAATAATTCTTGCAAGCCTTAGATTACTCTGAGCAGCACAAGCACTGAATATGATCCACCAGATATTAGATTGGGGTTCAATATGCTCAATGTCTATTACTCCTTCAGCTTCATCAAGATACCCAGCCCGACCAAGAAGGTCAACCATGCATGAAAGATGATCTTCTCCGGGCACAAAGCCATACTCATTTACCATGGAATTTAATATCCAAGTGGCATCATCAACTAAACCACCATGGCTGCAGGCAGAAAGAAGAGCAGTAAATGTTGCTTGATCAGGTTTAACCCCACCTGCACTTTTCATTTCCCTGAAACAAAGGACAGCTTCTTTACCTTCTCCATGTTGCGCAAAAGCAGAAATGAGGGCATTCCAAGTGATTGTGTCCTTTTCAATCATCTCATCAAAAACTCTCAAAGACCAACTTAAAGTTCCACATTTTGCGTACATTGTGATTAGAGCATTGCCTAAAGATGTTTCTGAAGAAAAATCATGCCTAAGGATATAATTGTGAAGTTGTTTCCCATTACTTAAGGATGAGATGCTGCCACAAATACTAATACCGATGCTAAGTGTATATGTATTTGGCCTGAGGTTTGACATTAATAGTTTGGTTAATTGCCTTAGGCCCAGAGCTGGGAACCCATTTAGAAAGAACCCTGATATAATAGTATTCCAGGAGATCAAGTTCTTGGTAGACGCTTGAAATATTTGATAGGCCTGATTCATCTTCCCATGCTTAGAGTATGAAGAAACCAATGCATTGGAAACCTGGACTCTTGAAATAAGTCCATTTTTAAACGCAAGGGCATGAATCATCTCACCCATTTCTATGAATTCTGAGCATGACAATAAGCTTCCAAAAGTGAACTCATCCGGTTCAATCCCTGACCTTCGCATTTCCATGTAGATAAGAAACGTAGAGCTACTAGAGTTTCTTTGAGTATAAGTTGATACCAGAGTATTCCATGACACAATATCCTTTTGCTCCAATCTCTCAAAAACTAAACGAGCAGTATTTAAATCCCCACAACTAGAATACATAGTTATCGCTGCATTGCTCACAGAGGTAGACTGTTCAAAACCCAACTTTACAGCTTGTGCGCATACTTGATCCCCAACTCTTCCACATGAACAAGAGCTAAGTAAACTCACAAAAGTCAGTTCAGAGGGGCTCAAACAAGCCTGTAACATCTCCCTAAACATTAACAATGCCTGTTTGACTCTTCCTGCGTTCATTAAACCATCTATCATTACATTAAAAGTAATAGGATCATACACGAAGCTCTCTACTTCTTCAAAAACCTGGCATGCATTTACAACATCTTCACAATTAAAATACATAGTAATCGCAGCATTAACCACGGAAGCTCGGAACAAAAACCCAGTTTTAACCACCAAAGCTTGAACTTGCCTCCCAAATCCCAAATTTTCACTATAACACTCGCTCAACACACTAGCGAAGCTATAATTATCATGCTTAAAACCCAAAAAGTGCATGTGCTTAAAAAAGCCAAACCCAAGGTCTTCATACCCATTTTCCATACACCCAGTAACCATCACATTCCATACCGCCACTTCTTTCTTGGGCATCTTATCAAACACCTGTAGTGCATAAGAAATTCCTCCCAATTTGGTACACGAAGACAGCATGGTAGTCCAAGAATAAACATCCGGGTCTTTAATTTCATTAAAAAGCCTCTGAACAGAAGCTAAATGATGGGTGTTGGAATAAAGGAAAAGGAGTGTGTTTGAGACATGAGAGTAGGCTTTGAAGCCGGATTTGATGGCGTAGGCGTGGAGCTTCGTTCCGAATGGGAGGTTGGGGAGATTGGCACATGCTTTGAGGGTGGTGGACAAAGTGTAATGGTCGGGTCTAACATCGTGGTGTCGACAGTAAATTTCGTCGAACAGATGGAGGGCATCTTGGTAGCGAATTGAGCGATTTAAATTTGCTAGGCGAGAGTTGAGTTCGATCAGCTTCAACTGTCGTTGGCTTAGACAAGTTTCAGATATGATAGTTAACCCCTTCGTGAAATAGCCAGAAACACTTGTCATTACTCAAATTGTAATCCTTTCTCTTATTTTTTCGGATCAGAATTGTCAACCTTTCTCATGCTTTCGCAATGCAGCTTTCTTCCTCAGATAAACCCCTCATCATTGGATTACGGCAACAAAAAAGTTGTGAGATTGTATTTGAGGTAAGCAGAGCTTCATTGAGTTATTGGTATTAAACTGTGGCCTGTGGGCGGAACATTCCAAGGATAAACATTAAATGTAAAATAGCTGTTTTGCCATTGCCACTACATGGCAGGGTTTTACAGTTTATGAACTAAAGTGCATTGAAGAACATATCAATGAACCCCATAAATGAAAGCAAAAAACTTTTTCCCGGGGTAAAGTCCCCCCACCCCCCACAAACAGCAATATCTTTACGATCCAGTTGCCCACCCATCTGTGGCTGTGTGTTTTCCATTTTGTATGTTATCAATATAATTTTTTTTATAATTATATGTATCCGATCTATTGATCGAACTAATTCGGATCGATATATATTTTTAATTAATATTATTAATAGAAATATTCAAAAATAAGAAGAATCCACTTACATTAATATGAAATTCAATTTATTTTGTCCATTTTAATAATGTTTTAAGATTGTAAAAAAATATCATTAGATATATATTAATAGAAATATTATACAAATTGATATTATAAAGATATTAGATTAATTAAAAATATATATGCATAATAAATAGGATTATATTAATAAATTCAACAGTCTTATTATAAAAATAATAAAAGTATACAAAATTATTGAAGTGTATAAATTAAAAACAATATAATTAAATTATAAATCAAAAATTAAAAAAAAACCTTAATATTTATTTCTTTTTAAATTTTGTCTTAAATATTTTTTAGATGAATGATCAATATATTCCAAACAAATTGAACATCTACAAACAGTAAAAAAGCAAAAAAAAAATATACCAATTTCCAAGCTAAACAAATATCCCTATTCCCCGCACACCCTGTCTACATGCCTGCCCCACAATTTCAATCTAACCATCTCCCTAATCCGATTCACCATCTCAACAAGATTAACCTCACACCTACAAAAAGCTTTGATTCCTCGCCTTCCAAACCACAACAATATAACCATTCCAAGCCAATTTCAGAACCCCAAGTACGAAGCGACTTACCCCTGAACCTTCTACACGCCCAAGCCAGCTCGCCCCCAAGTCCATGATCGGACGATCAACCTGACACATACGCAGGACCTGCAACCAACAGCCCGAGAGATTTCACATTAAAAAAACATGTGGTCTCTCGTCTCTCTACTATTCATACTATTCAAGCAAATACCACATTCACTCACAACAGCCAGACCAAAAGAAATCAATCTACTCCTAATGGGCAACCGATCAAGCACAACCATCCAAGAAATCAAAGAATTTTGGGGATATGCCCTGAATGCCAAACAAGACGTTCCCAGGGAACTCACACTCTTACACTTCTAATCTCCTTCCAGATCATGAAAGCAAAAGATAGGGCCAATAACCCATGCACAGACTCAACTTTGTTTCTAAGATGCAATAGCGTACGCTAGGTCCAACTACACTGCTGAGAACAACTAAGGCTCCAAAAGAAATTTACTTAATAATGTAAGAGTGAACCCAAGCCACCCAAAAGGAACCACCTTTCAACAACACCTTCCTAATAAGAAACAAAAAAAAAAGCTTGGTTCCAACACTTTAAATTCTTAAAGCCGAGACCTATTTCAGACTTAGGATAACAAATCAAACTCCATTCCACCCAAGCTCCTTTGGCAGCCTTATCCTCCACCTTCCAAAATAATCTAGAGCATAATTGTTTAATACGATGAATGACCGCATTAGGAAGGGCTAGTTGGCAACTCCAAAAATTCTGGACACTATAGATCACCTACTGGACGAGTTGTATCCGACCAACATAAGAAAGGGCTTTAGCTTTCCAACCACTCATCTTAGTAGCAATGTTATCAATGATAGGAGCACAATCTTTTACCGAGAGCCTTCAGCAGTCAACGACACTACAAGGTATCACACCGGTAACTGGCCACGTTTAATCTCCATGATCTCAAGAACTTCATTCAAAACATCAACAACCACCCCAGCAGAGAATACCTCAGATTTGGCAGGGTTAATTCAGAGCCCCGAGAACCTATAAAACAAATTCAACGCTTCCAAAACCTCCACAATTAAATCCAAGTTCCCATTGGTAAACACTAACAAGTCATCAACAAAACACAAGGTCGTAAGTTTAATCCTATGACACTTAGGATGAAAACAGAAGACACCATGCTCCGCCATCCTGTCAAGGAGCCGAGATAAAACATTCATGGTGATCACAAAAAGGTATAGAGATAAGGGGTCTTCCTGGCGCACCCCTCTTGCCCCACCCCCCACCCCCCCAAAAAAAAAACCCACCAAACCACCATTCAAAGAGGTGGAATATTTAGGAGTGGTAACACACGCCCTAATCCATTCAATCATTAACTCTGGAAGTTCTAAGGCCTCCAAGATAGAAAACATAAAGCTCCAGTCCAGAGTCAAAAGCCTTCTATAAATCCAACTTAAGAGCACATCTAGGAGAACTAGCAGATGTATTATAACCCTGTACCAATTCCTGGGCCATGAGAGTGTTATCAATGATAGCCTTACCAGGAATAAAAGCACTCTGATTGCCAGAAATAACCTCAAATAGGAAAGGTTTCAACATGTTCACAATCACCCGAGTAATGCACTTGTAAATCACATTACAACACGAGATAGGCCTGAACTCCCTGATGTGGCTAGGATTTAACACTTTAAGAACCAAGACCAAGGTAGTGGCATTAAAAGCTGGCAGTAATTTAGAATGGTCAAAGAAGTAGGTAACAACCAAGATAACCTCATCCCTCACAATAAACCAGGAAGTTTTAAAGAAATGAGAAGTAAACCCATCAGGGCTAGGGGCCTTATCTGAGTGCTAGCTAAACATAGCAGCCTTGATCTCCTCCCCAGTCTCTCTCCTGCAGAAAGCCTCCTTCGCAGCACTAGAAAAAGTACACCCCAAAATCTCCTTCAGGACATCACTACTAGCTCCAACCAAATCCTCATTCGGCTTACCAATGATCTTCTCAAAATACCCAATAGCCTCATTAGAAATTTCCTCCTGAGTATCCAACATTCACCCAAGATCATCTTTGAGAGTGCAAATAGCTCGGCGATTCTGTTTAATAGCCACCATTGAGTGAAAAACCGAGAATTCTGGTATCCCTCTTGAATCTAGGACACTCTCGATTTTTGCCTGAAACAACTCTCCTCAGCACCCTCCAAACTCCTTAATTCAACAGCCACAACCTGATCCTAACCACTAAATCCCCACAATGAGCATTAGCAAGGAGAGTCAGCTAGATCGAATATAATTCCGTCATCTTTTTACGCACACGTAAAGAAATGTTACCATATTTATGCAGATTCAACTCTTTCAAGAGAGGCTTTACACGCTTTAACTTAAGAAATAACCTACTCATAGGTAGAAGCATGAATAGGCTCATCCCAACTGTCGCGCACTATCCTAAAAAACTCAGGATCTTTAACCCAAAAATTAAAGAAGCAAAAAGGCTTCGGAATAGACTTTTCAACCTATTATAACACCTTTAACTTGTATATATATTTAAATACGAGTTAAAAATATCATATCAATAGTATAAAATAATTATTATTTGAAGTTCGGTAAAATTTTATTTCTTTAAAATTTTTAAATCTAACATTTAGTACAAAATCATATAATTGCATAAAATCATAACATAATATTTTCGCTTTCGATTAAAATTTAATTTTAATTTCAGGTAGCAACTAGAGTGTTCTATACGATTTCCTATTATAAAGTAAACTGCCTAATAACTGTCTACTTTAAAATATTTCTTAATGCTATCAAAATATAACTTACTTAAAATACAAACTTTAGATTTATATTTATATTCATAATAATATTTTTCAGATATTTCTTATTCGTATACATGTCATCTAGAAAATTTAAAATAGTAAAATGTCATTACTGACACATGTAATTATTCTTTAATGATTAATGACAAGCTCCATTCCTTACTTCACTTGCTCTTCTTTATCTACACATGAAAATCATCACATGCTAAATATATACTTTGTGAGACATTATAAACAACTAAGGTAATATAAATATAACATGACTTAATAGAATCAAACAATATATTTCTTTATATAAACTGAAAAATATCATAACAGTCTAAACATCAAACTTAAATTCAAATAATATCATTAAATATCCAAACCAATTTATTCGAACAATTTTTCCTCATCGGAAGCTTGAAAATCACCATCTCATGATTTTGTCAAAACCATGATGATAAGTATTAGACATATCAATCATTTCATATTCTTTTCATTTAAATACATTTCAGAACTTCCATTTTTTAGATTCAGAACTTTTCCAAATTCATATATTTACTATTAGATTCATAGCCCAATGTATATTTATGAGAAATGCAAGGTATGTGAGTCAGACGAGTGTGTGCAATAAGCACTTCACGGTGCTATAATCAGAATCAGAATATGCACTTTAGGTGCAATAATCAGATATAAAAATATGCACTATAGTGGCAATCATATAATGTACACAAATGTACCAGATCAGAATCAGAATTAGAATGTACACCAATTGTACATACGTCTCTCAATGCAACATGCAATGGGTTTTACTTTAATTTCATATCATTTATAAGTTCAACATTTTCAATTAGTAGCATTTCAAAATATCATTTATTAAAATCAGTGCATTGGGCAGTTCATACCCAAAACCATCTATAATTATAATACAAATATCATATAAAATAATTTGGGCAGCTCTTGCCCAAAAATCATTTTATAGAAACTATTCATTTATCTTTTCATAAAATATCATATAAAGACATATTGGATATTTCATATCCAAAATAAATCATAAATCATTTCGTTATTCATTATGGAAATATCCCATAATTTGATTCAAACTTTTATCATCCGAAGTTGACTTATCACAAGTCTTCCTCAATTAAATATAACTTAAATAAATAAATGCACTGACTTTTACACTTTATTTATAAGTCAAAATATAAGTCTCACTAAGCTTTAAATTTAATCATTTGATTTCAATTTGCTTCGATCATGAAATTTATCAAAATTTCATACTCTGGTAGTTTGTACTATATTCAAAGAAATATTATTCTGTATTGATATACATACTTAAAAATTATTTCATTTATACTAATGAAAACTAGACTCGAATAAGAATCTAACCATATAAAACACTTCTTC